TTATATGATTTCATATGACGAAGATATCTGGAAGACTCGTGGCGCCTGCCTGAAATAAAGCATGGAGAGGCACCCGAGATCTTCTTTCATCAGTAAAACTTGAAAATCCTATATGACGTTACGCGTGTCGGTGTTACTTAAAATCCAACAAAACGCAAAAAACATGCACTGAGATGAATTTATAACTTGATAATCAATTTAAAGATCTTCTTCTGTCAGACTAAATATCTAACACACAATTCACTTGAACAAGGTATATTTTCGTTTCCTCGTAATTCATGTTGTTATCTCTTTATTTATCGCAAAAGAACATGTTATTTCCTAGATTACTAGTCTAGGATCATACAATTGATTTAAAGATTATGGAATTGATTTCTAAGAATGACAAGAATTCTAATTATCTTTGATCTGCTTATCAGATTAGAACACGCGTCAGATGATATTAAAAGCACTAACTTGCAAACGGTGAGATTACATGCTTTGACTGCAAATCGCACAGCAAAACCCATGTAACATCCAATATGAGTATTTCAAATTACTATAAATCTTTTAAAGGATATAGAGCTATATTGAATGTCTGCCTTTTTTGTGGATCAAAGCAATACAGGATCAAATCTGAAATAATAATGCCTGTTTTTTTATAATGTTTGTGTGTTGTGTCCAGGAACGTTTTATTATGTATCCTTATGATAAACAATCCTAATGTCACAAGTAAAGTAAAACTAAACTAGGATCTAAAGCTAATTTTATATGGCGGTGTTGTTGCTTTCTTTTCTCTTTGTTTTTTTATGTTTTGATGTTAGCCAGGTCGTCATTGTTACGAAGGTTCTTAAAAAAACCAAATATTTTCCTGAAAATATTATTATTTAATGGGGTTTACAATACAATGCCTTACATTTGTATGCGCTAATTAATTTCTTTCAATTTAGTTTATTTAACTACCACAGTGCTCGTTTCGGCAATAAAATAGCACACTTCTGCGTTATTTTCACATCCCCACGTTACAGGATAAACATATAGAAATACGTATTACATAACAGGGCGGTCTTCTTTAGAACATTTTGATTGCTCGTAGGTATTAAGTGATTAAACTGTACAAATATGTATTCTAGCATATTCATTTATAAATTTAAGTAAGGAATTATGATTGCATATTTCTGCCACCAGATAATCATATAATTAACTAGTTAATTAAGAGGTTACTAGTTACGTTACTAGTTAACATCTTAATTAACTAGTTAGTTATGCGATTAACTAGTCACAAAACAAGTTAAATTTTTCAATAAATAAAAAGAACATAGCGGGAAATGAACCTCTTAATAAACTAGTTAATTAAAAGGTTAACTAGTTAACCTCTTAATAAACTAGTTAGTTAAGAGGTTGTCTAGTTACGTAAATAGTTAACCTCTTAATATTTAGCTGGTAAAATAATAAAATGATGGCAGTTGTAGGCACTAACATGCATTTATCCCGTTATGATTTTTTATTTATTGAAAAAATTAACTAGTTACGTAACTAGTTAATCGCATGACTGACTTGTTAATTAAGAGGTTAAGTAGTTACGTAACTAGTTAACCTCTTAATTAACTAGGTAGTTATATGGTTATTTGGTGGCAGAAATATGCCACCATAAAGGAATATCTCTGTACTGTAACCTATATAAATAAGTAATTGTAGTCTTATATATTAACTTGCTCATATTTCGTCTTTTATCATTGTAATCATTCTTTGTATCAAGTGAAAAACATCGATGTTATGTGTGAAGCGCCAATTAAATTTATCCTTATTCCCGCAAGGACACACTTCTTTGTTTAAATGTTCTGCACGTTTTGACGTTTTGGTGTTTCAATATTGCGAACCATTGTTTTTTATAACATTTAAATACAGAATAACAACAACGCTTCTATATATCGTCTATTTCTACCATATGGCCGTTTGCAATTGACTTTGTTACATTAGAAAGTATTAAAGCTAAAAATTATCAATCAGATATAAATCGAGGACATTTGAATGTTGTAATAAATAAACTTGAACTTGCTTAAGTACAACACAGTTACTGCATATTGTCAAATAACTTTCTTTGTGACAATTTCATATTCTCGGGCCTTTCCGCCAGCCTTCGGGTAAGAACCTCGAACATAATAATAAAAACCGATACTGTATTCCGGTCTTACGAGAAACTAAACATGTAAACAAATAATAAATTTATGCTAGAAGTTGTTGATTAAATTTATCCAATATATCGGGTGAAATCCCAACTGAATTAAGTCTAATTATATAAAAGTAAACAGTACATTATTTATATACTTATTACTAAAGCTGTAGATACCGAAAGTACAAAATGTCTCTCTGCTTTCATTAATTCGGACTTTGTTATGACTGTACATCAGTGGGCAATTGTAGATAGTCAGAAGTATTTTCAGTCACAATTGTACCGATTTTCGGAAATAGACTATAATGTTCATTTGGATGTCAAAAATATATTTTCGATTTAAATTATCAAAGATAACACCCTTTACATTTAAAACCACGTGTTAGAACTACTTTTAAACTGTATTAAGTCCGAGGCTTGCACGAGATGTTTTGATTGTCACACAAGTGCACGAATGGATCGGGCTTACAGTATGATATTTCTTATTCACTGACTGTAGCAAACCAGTATCGTATTATTCATATTTACAAAAATGTAAACTAAATACAAATTGATTTACGCATTACATAGAGTTATCAAATGTCGGACTTTAATCAAACTAGAAACAAATGGAAGTACATTAAAAAACAATTTAAGATTTAGCAATTAATTTGGCATTTATGTTAAGTAATAGATTTAGCTTTTAAGTTCAGCGATTAAAATATATTTCAGTGAGGAAATAGCAAAATTATATTTCATGTTTTGTGGCTCTAACGACGACCTTTACATTTCCTCTGGGAGAAATGTTGTATAAAATGATTTATTATGGACAATTATGATGAATATATTTGCATGTTCTGTTTGATCCATCAAAACTAAGCTTTACATGAAATCTACATTTTTTCTTATTTTTTCGTTCTTTGTTGCGACCGTTCTTATCTACAATATATTTGAACAAAAAAACATATATTAATGTTGTTTTCTTTTCTCTTTTCTTTGTTCTCGTTATTTTGAGTTTATGATTATATTTTGTCTGTGTTTGATTTTCGTTTTTTTTAAATTTTGTTTTGTTGCAATAATTATGTTAAATTAAACTGACAGTGTGCTATTTTTAAACAATTTAAAAACTAATTATAAAGAATTGATATCATGATCACCTAACATTGTACGATACATGACAATAGTTTATATTCAGGTGACTGCCCTTTTTATATTGAACATAAATTAAAAACAGTTGAAAAATTACGAAAATCTTAGGCTGTAACAGTTTGCAGCTTGGTATATTGAGCATTCAGTGTAGGATCCGCATTCTTCCTAATTTCTAATTACGAAGTATATTCTGTGTCCTTAAATGACATTTCGTATCCAAGTGGTGTGCACAAATGATCTCATTATTTAATGTTATACTTAACTGCTTATGTGGATAATAAATGACACAATTAATTTGCATTCCTGTCAGCAGATATATATTAAATGTAATCTGATATATTTCGCTCAAAACCAAAAATATATTACTGACAGACGAAAAACAAGCTTCTGTTATGCAAATATTATTGACAATAATTCTTTACAGCATATGTTAATAACACTGGTTTTTAATAAACACATATTAAGTGTGTGTCTGTCATTTTAAATAAGATTGTGAAATAAACTATTCTTGTATGTTAAAATAGTTGTGAATTAGAAAAAAAAATCCTATTATCAACAACCGTTAGGTCATTTTCCTCTGCACACGACTGGTTTTCGGCAGATGAACAAAATCAAAAGCTTCATTATTTGTTATAACATTGTTATTTTTATACGAAAACAAATATACTTGTAATAATAATAAATAATATACTGTAAAAAAACTAAGCGGCGTCGTCTTTATGGATTGCTTCGTTTTTTGTCCCATGGTAGGAGCTGTTATTATTAGCAGTGAATGTCATGTTGTGTTAATTAGTTTTATTTTGATTTTTATAAATCAAGAATACAAATATGTTGCAACATTAATATTTAATAACTTAACTTAAAAAGCATGTGCATTGTGATATATATTTTCATGAAATTGCAGGCTAAGTTAAACGGCTTATCCCTAAAAAATTATATCACAAGTCTACGTATTTTCCGAACATCCCTTGTATTTCAGACTTGCACTTATTTTTTTTTCTCTCATCCACACGAATTAGTTACTTGTTATCACGAGATACTATGTCGTTCACTCGAATAAGTATCATGTGGGAACGAGATAAAAATGAGAAGTGCAATTTACAAAAGATATAAGCACGACGCCTATCTACCACCTTAAACAAGTTATATCTCTTTACTAATTTGATTTCCTCTGCTATTCCTTGTGTTTTTGAAAGGTTTTATTCCCGGGAAAGAAACGTACATCAATTTCATATTGCTATTGTGATACTTTTTGCTACTTTAGAACAAAAGTACGTTAATATTTAATAATAATGTTTTATGTTAAACTTCTAAAAATCCGCCATGTTTAAAGTTATTTATCTGTCGATTTAAAGTAAATAAAAACGCTCGCATAACATAATATTAAATTAATAAAACACTACAGTAAAAAGAAACAAAACGGATTCTAGAAATAAAATAGTTTGCGGTTACATGGGCTGCTCTAGCTGATTTTATGCCTGAGAATTAAAACGATTATTCTGTAACAACCCATTGACTTTGGTATGGTCGTGTCCTTAAATAATGTAAATATTAACATATCTGTTAAAATATCTGTTTTGCAATAAGTTGGATTGTTTATCGACGATTTACGTACTTTATTTTCCTATCAATAAATATTTTTTTCCGTTTTCTCTCGTCCTTTTAAGATACAAAATGGATAAAATGCATAAAACGTTTTTATTAATATAACAAACTTTTATTATTAGAGACAGAAATTATCAAATTAAATAAAGTAACAAATCGTTTTAAAAATAATACGAATATACAGAGATGGCCTCCTAAAAATATACAGTTATTAACATCTGTTCTTTTATATCGCTTAATGTAATTTTATTATCTATATTGTTGATCTTGATGGGCTTTTCCCATATTTAATAGTATGTCCTTTGTTGGTGAATTCCAAAACAGAGTCAATATAATCAATGGCAAGCTTTTCAGCCCATGTTACGTCACAAATCTTTTCAGTAAAACTACAATGTCCTCCTTTTTCTGTTGCAACCATCAGAAATTGTGGATAATACTTACATAATTCATATGGAATTTTTATATTTGAATAAAACGGATCATCTAAGCTATTTATAAAAAGAAGAGGTACAGCAATCTCATCGACATCTCTCAGTGGGTTATTTCTCTCCCAGAATTCCTCCACATTTGAGAAGCCGTACATTTTGGAATAAACTACCTCGTCAAAACGTCGATATGACCATGCCCTGAGTAACTCGTTGAGATCAATTTTATTTGAAAGTGCTTTCGAATGAGCGCCTATAGTACACTTTAATTTTGATAAATATAATAAATCGTACATTCCTCGTTTATCTTTTGAGAAACGTTCAGTGTAATCAAAACACGCTGAAATACAAGCACCAGCACATATGTTAGCCGAGGAGCCATACTCCCCAAGATATGACAATAGTAACGAGCAGCCGTTACCATATCCTATCATTGTAATCAGAGCTTTTGGATAACACCCGTGGATATATTTAATGACTTGTCGTAAATCTGTAGGATCACCGTAACTCAGAAGTTTTGCTGTGGTGAGATTAGAATTTCCAAATCCTCTAGGATTAAAAACAACCGGTCTATATCCTTTATGAGCAGCTAGTCCACACAATTTTGAAACAGATAATGCATTTGCGGTAAAACCGGGTATAACTAACAATATTGTACATCGTTTTCTTTTATGTATAGAAACTTGAACAACCCAGTCAAGGGCAACAACTCCTCTGTCCTTCATTTGTAAATACTCCCTGTCGTATTCAAGTTCTTCAGATGGAAGTAAAAATGGCAATATTGTTTGCACATGCGCATTTGATATCCACCACGGAGGATCAAACTTCCGGTTCATCAGACGGCATCGCTTTAATAAATGTGACGCGAGTGCTGATTCTTTAAAGTACAGTTTAGGAATGGTAGATGATTTCTGTAATATTGATTTGATATATATAAGGATACTTATCACCACTGTTCCGAACACTGCCAAATAAAACGGCAATGATCCTATGATAGAATAGGCCAACCATATCATGGTTGGACCGTACACAAGGAATGGGATCTTGAGCTCCACTTTTCAACACTTATCACTTTTAATCATTTCCTGTATAAGTGTGTATCCGGTATATATATAAAGACAAGACATATTTGGTCCTTTTTGAAAACTTACGAAACGAACATTTCTGTAACAATTATCGTTTCACCAATTGAATGCAAAACTGTTTTCGTCAATTACGTGTAATGACTTCGTTGACTAGTGTTTATTATATCCAAGCTGTTCTGTACTGTTTGTAATCCTGAGCTATATATATGTATCTTTCTAGACCTCTATCTGAAATAAAACAAACATAGACTTTATAATTTAGAAAAAAGATCATATATCCTTGAAGAAACCATTATACACAAAATATTCTATCAAATATATATTGTCTTTTTCTTAACCTACTTGCTCATATTCATAGCGTTCTATTATTTATAACAAAAACGCTTCCTACATTAACAAATTCAATTTTCTTCAGAGATAAAACATACAACAATATAGGTTCGTTTTTTTCAAATCTCATATTTCCGATCTCCCGCAATAAAATCTTACGTCCATCTATTCAGCAGTAAACGTCATATTGTATCGTAGTAATAGCAGGATGCCATTGATTTTGTTCTTAGATAAACGCCTGACCCACATTTTCTCATGTTTCCCGCTACATAAACGTTTTCAACTATATCGAATATTTTGGCAGATGAAGGATTGATTTGTAAATGAATGTTAACCTGAATTTCTAGGTATAAAGTAAACAATTTATGTATTTTTTTTGTAAAACGTCTTTAATGTCGGTATATGTAAACAGATCAAAAATGAAATTTAAGCACTTATAATTATAAATTATTCATATGTAAATTACATTTTAGTTTTTTTTCCTCATTATAATGTAAAGTATAGTTCATAATAAAGTATTACATTAAATAGAATCGATACAGTTTGTATTGAAAGACTCTCTACTAGCATAGAATATGTATTCTATTTACGAGAGTGTACAATATATGATATGAATATTTAATAATGATATTAGCAACATAATTTATATTACTAGTCACACTATTGGGAAAAGTGACAGATATTGATTACCATTGAAAACCTATCAATTAGTGTGCGTTTTCGTTTTGTAATACATGTATCAACCATTAACATTTGTTTATTATTTTCCAACACAAAAGTAATGTATCATTTAATTGTTGCTTTGTTTGTTTGTTTCATTGTACGCCTTTTTCCAACAGTATTTCAGTCATATAGGCGGGTAGTTTCCTAACCATCGTTCCTGGAGCGTTACACCAGTACTAGACTTCCTTCCTCCGTGCTAAACTACTAAAACATCTCCCGGGGATCGAACCGACGCCAGAGAGGTAACTGGATTAGAAGTCATCGACTCTAACCCCTCGACCACGGAGGCTGTTATTTAATTGTTGCAGCATATCTCTTGTAGAATAATTCAATTATATCAAACAACTGATATATTCTATCATAATGATACAATTTACGTCAAACATTTTAAAGTTAGGACGTAAAAGAAATAATAATTGAAACATGTACGCTTGATGAAAGCATTGTAATTTTTTTCATTTGATTATAATACTTACAGCTGCATGTATTACCAATGAATAACTAAAAAATAATCAAAGACCTAATCATTGCGCAACATGAAGTAATTTATAAGTATAGTCCATGCATTTGTAATTTACTTAACTGTTTTTCCTTCATTATCAATCATGTAAAGAAAGAAAACAAAAATATTGCATAACATTTCAATGCAAACATAACTTCCTCCCTTCATAAACACGTTCCTCTCTTGCACATCGTGTAATTCTTATTACATACTGTAATGAAATTATAAAGTATATCTAGTTTGCACTCATGCACCAACGAAGTTTTCTTCACCGTATCAGCTAGTGATAAAATATTATGCGCATGAACAGATTTAATGTGAATACAACAGTATAACTGAAAGGTTTATGATAAACTGATATCCATAGTCTAGGTTGTAATGAACAACCATCAATTAACATATTTACATATGTTTTATATTTCAAATATGATCAAACATTTTTTATACATGTGTATTGAGATTAATAGGTTTTTTATGACAGCTTGTATTGCCTTAAGTATCTACAGCTTTAATGCAAACTGCTGTGAGATGTTCGTTTAATTGTATATGGAATTATTTTTTGAAATATTATATGTTTGTAATCATTGTGCATATAATACAGGTCCTACAAAGATAAACCAATTGACAAAATTAATATCACATTGTTAGATGTAAGAAAGCTTTAAAGATATAGTAAAATAAGAAAATTATATAATAATTATATAGATCGAAGTTGCCAATGCGTACGCTACGTACCGTATATCCGTATATATAGTTAATTTCCGAAATTACATTACATGCTCAATATTATAACTGCTAATTGCCAGTTAACGCATTAATTTGTTACCAGTTAAAGTGACAAATTGACAATTTACCCTCAGGTATCGCGACGCTACGTCATCTTTGTTTACAAACATTCATCATTTAACGGATAGCTATCATTTATGACCTAAAGGCACCGGCATCCTCATTACCGTGAACGTCATGCTCTATATTACATATCACCAAAATATGTTTTTAAGTGATTTTTTTACTCTATTTGGTTTTTGAATAATGTAATATAATGCTTTTTATGTATAAAGCATTTAAACATAAGTTAGCATTGCTACTGTATTGATTTTACGAACAGAATAGAACAGAAATTTTACTACGTAACGTATACTATACACTATCTTGTTACAATATAATACATATCAAATAAATGTATAATAAATAGCGGAGCACATGGTATAATTCAAACATTTACAGTATATTGGAGAATGAACCTATATTGCTGCAGAAAGAAACACAAATATTTCTAAGCGCGAAGTTCCGTATTTGTCCATGTATTGTAATAAAGGTTGACCATTTAAATACGAGTTTTATTCGTAAAATCTTTATTATTGTAACCGCTCCACAACGTGCTTATTTTGAATTGTCAGTTGATATAATTAGGACATCATTCAGTGTAATCTATTTATTCATAATTTATTTATTCATAATCCACTATTTAGAGCAACAGGCCAGATGTGTTTGGAGAATTTTTAGCGATGTCAGTTAATAGTTTCCGGAAAGTAAGAAACTTCAGATATTACCGCACTATGTTGCATAAAATAAGAGTTGTCGATCGACTATTCGTAAAAAATGAGCGTGGATAGTTTAGTATTTTCTTAGATCTGAAAAGGGCATTATTTTGTCAAAATTCAAGATAGAATCTTTCCCTTGAGTTCTTTTGGAGATAGAAAAAATCGCACGCGAAAATTAACCAAAATATAACGCCGACGTCTGTATGAGAACAATTTTCTTTTTTCTTCAAACAGTTTAACGCATTTAAGTGAACCTGATACATGCCTGATGGGTGCATTTTATCTAACATATATTGGAAGGCAAACCGTTATAATCTGTTTTACAAGTCTAAAATTTACGCGATACTTTAGCACAATGGTCCACTGATCATATTCGTAGTGGGTAATTGAATTAAATACATTTTCAATAAATCACACTGTGATCGGAAGTAGCAGATGTTTGTGCTCGCAATAAACCATACACATTGAATTGTTTAGACATACGCAAATGAAGCAATTATGTCGTTTAACCACTTTGATATTTCTCTTGATTACTTTGACATTTATAGATAAAAGTAAGCAATGGTTTAGCCATTGAAAAAGTAAGTTAGGATGGATGTAGAGAAATTCCTCTGTTACAATTGACCTGACAAGTGACCTCGGAAATCGAGTCTTTAAACGTTGGTGGTATAAGTAGTCGGTCACCAGCGGTATAATTGGTTATTACTGGTTATACGAACAAAATAGTTTAAAATCGGCGGTAAAACAGAAAACACAATCAACGCATTAAAGTCAGAAGTATTCTTGATAGCACGTATCTCCTTATTTATTATTGAAATGTCAACAACAGGCTCATCTATTTTCATAACAATTTTAATCTTGATTATCCATTTTCTGTGTAGGAATTGTTTTTTGTTTGCATGTTTCAATAAAAGTCCCATGGGAAGAAAGTAATTTGTTCTGATATAGTAGGGTATAATGATTGAAAGTCGTAAAACCTAATTTATTCATGACATTTAGTCACAACACAGAAAGATCCATAATAACGGTAATTTGCTTCGGATTGATATTATATCAAGTGATTTTATGCTGCCTTTTATATAAAATGCAAAATGTTTGATAAATGCACAATGTGACTATAATTATAATAAGTCTTATAACTTTAGATATTGATCTAATTTTTATGCCATTTTTTATTACTTTGTGATATTTTAAAGCAAATCCGAAACATAACCCTTTTTGAAAAAAAAACCCAAAAAACCCATAAATGTATATAATTAAATTGCTCATTTGCATATTTCAAATTTTCAATTTTCAATTTTCTAATACTAATACTACTAATTTAAAAAACAAATCCCTTTGTTTTCAAGATCTTTTAACACAACACTGAGTGAGTGAGTGACTTTTAGAAACAACACGTGATTTTGACGGTCCATCATTTTGTGATAAAATACAGCTGTGTACCTTGTCTTATGTGATTTGAGTCACATAAACACACACTTTATTAAGCCATTGTATATTTTGTTTATGTTAAATTGTAAAGTCTCCAGATTGTAAAACACAAAAATGATTTATATGATTTATCACTTAAATAAACGCGTACCAAAGATTTCATTTTAGCAGTATAACTATAATATGATAAACATGGTATTAACAGAAATAAAACATTTTTAAAATGATAATATAATTCTCATTCAAAAATAATAAATAAGGCTAGGAGCAAATGTGAAAGTAATTAAATATTTCTAGGATATAACTATGAATAATCAATTCGTTCTGATATAATATCTTTCTAACATGATACTGATTTTATTTAGCAGAATTCACACACATAGGAAAACTAAACAATAATTTTCACCACGAAAAAGCGGTTAAATTAATTTCATATTTTTTTTCATACAACTTCACGATTGAAATGAAAATGCCAAGGTATAAATCTTTGCATAGCATTGCATAAATGATATTACACTTCCCGTTAAATATAAGTTATATCAGACTTAACAATTTAATAAATAATTGGATGATATCATCATATTCTCCCGTTAAATATGTAAGTTGTATGAAACTATAGGTCCTATCTCATAGAATACCGTTAACATAAATATGATAACTATCACCAGCAATCTACTATGTTATATTTAATAATTATTCTGGAAACTGCATATTACTAACTGTAAACCGTCGATTTTCTGTTATATATTTAAATCATTAAAAGGTGCTACATTGTACATGGTTTGAAGTCACGAACTATTGTATCCTAGATGTAGCATGTATATGTATAAGCTTTATACAACATATCTTTGTACATAAAGCTAAATCTCTATAACAGTAAAATGTTTTAACAAGTTTTTACATTATGGAAAACAGCAATACTGACTTGTTATTTTACGTTGCTGTTCATAAATGGGGAGGTTCATATTTTGGATATATGTACGCCTTATTTACGTAACAAAATCCACTTTACAACAATGTCAAACTTGTTCAAAGGCTTTATTGTTGGAATATGTGATTACAAAACACAAACACTGTAAGCATTACTTCTCCTCGAGGGTATTCAAATATCATATTCACCTTTAACTGGTGAACTTATTACAATGTTCCTCATTTGAAAATCATGCAAACATTATGTTGTATAAGACCAGGAGCAAAAAAGCCGTTTAATTATATTGCTATTGTATTGCCAGCATATTTTTTCGGGCACGTTTGTGAAATTTAAAAGCTGTGCCAATCAAATTTCATGCTTTACGGTATCGCTGATGAAACGGCTTCTATCTTAGTTATGTAAATAAATCAACAATATGACTCAAGTGATTGCTTGCTGTGTGTGATTTTGTTTATAGTGTCTCACCATATATATTGTCGTCTCTAATATTAATTTTATTTCATTTTCGCTAAAAGGTATTAATTTAAGTTGATTAATCAATTTAAATACAATTTTACATTTCTGTGGTATTCTATCGTGTCTTACATCTTTCCTGATCAATGATTTGTTTATGTATTGTTAACTTCGTATAAGTCAGTTTGGAACAAATGTTTCTAAATACTTTGACCATACAAGAATAGAATAGCTGCAGTGGATTTCTTTTATATAACTGTATTTTTTATATAAACATACATTTGAGGATGATATTAATAATATATGGAAAAAAAATAAAGAAAACAAAAATAAATAAACAATAACAATATGTGAAACACGTGTTTTACAATAAATATAGACAAAGATAAAAACGAAAGTACAACTGTGTTTCTTATGCGAACATTCGCAAATATCAAAGTAATTACTCTCACAGTTGAATGATTGTAATGAAATAATGCAAGAGATATTTTTCAATGATAGCGTTATCAAGCTGTGTTCAAAGAAAGCAAGCGCATTCTATCCGTATTTGATGTTGCAATACTCGAACACGTCGGTGATGTATATATCTTAATGCTTCGTTTTATTTTGAAAGATGAATGTAAAGACACAGTTATATATAAGGAAACAAAGGTTATTAAGCAAGACTACATAATGTTATTACGAGGTATACGAGCCAGCAATAACACAATTAACGTTTGTTTGAATAATAAAATAACTGCTGTTACATAAGATCGTTTTTTTTAAAACGTTCAGTTATTCAAAATGTTGCCAATGCTTTTAAAGAAATTATGTGTCCTGTGCAACCCATATTAAATGTTCATCATATATACGTTGTATGTCAGATAGAATAGAGTAAATAAATATGTTGTATTAAAACTATTCCCTG